GGCTGACGCTTATTCAAAATACCGGAAATGCAAATAGCATAGATGTGGAGGTGGCTGGCAACCTTAAACCACTGGTGTGTAAAAAATGGCAAAGGATAATGGATAAAACCAGAATTTCGTGGTTTATTCATGAATGTAGATGTGAAAGAAAGGAATTAGCCAGACTTATCAGACAAGGATAAATCATTCGATAGGTTAGAGGCAGTGAGGGATAAACGGCGAAAATATCAAGCATTGATTAGGAGGAGTAAACAAGATGATTATAAAACACGGTGGCAAGGACTAAGACTATTATGTATGCAAAATAACGATACGAAATTCTGGGAACTAGTTTCCCAAGGCCACAGAGACATAAAAGTAATGATAGAAGCTCAGATTTCACTGGAAGATTGGATAGCTTATTTTAAAAATAAATTTGAGGATACTAGTATATCAAACCAACAGCTAATTGGTTTTGATATATTAAAAACATCCCCAAAATGGCCCCCTGTAACTGTGGCAGGAGTTAAAAGAATAATTGCACAACAGACAGCTGGTAAAGCCCTGGGAAAGGACATGTTGCTTCCAGAAATGTCCTGATTGGTGGGCCCCTATACTCGGCTCTTTGTTTACCTATATCAATGCCACTGGCTGATTACCTGTAGGTTCGAATAATAGTGTAGTAATCCCAACATATAAAAAGGGAGATACTACAAATCCAGCTAATTTTCGACCTATAAATCTTATTGACATAGGGTACAGGCTATATACAAGATATCTTTTAAACAGACTGATTGATTGGGCAGATACCAGGCAGATTATAGCAGAAGAACAGGCAAGTTTTAGAAAGGGACATAGTACTATAGATCAACATTTCATTTTACAACATCTGATCCTCAAATCAGTGAATGGACCCTCAAAATGCCTGTATGCAGCATTCATTGATTTATCACCTGCCTTTGACAAAATAAATAGAGGGAAATTATGGGAGAAGTTTTTAGTTACTGATATAGATAGAAGATTACTTTATTTAATATATATATTCTATGAAGATACCTGCATACAAGTAAGGATAAATCAGAGTGGTTCCTTAACAAAGCAGATTAGAACCTTAAAAGGTGTCTGCCAGGGCTGTCTACTGACCCCTTTCCTTTTTAACTTTTATATCAACAATATTGTAGAAGACTTAAATAATCCTTCTTTCCATCCATTGGAAGGAGAAAGGTCCCTATATTACTGTATGCAGATGATATGGTACTTATGTCGACAACATTAATT